CGCAGCGCGCGGCGGGGGGGGGGGGGGGGGGAGATTGAACAAAGACCCCAACTATCTTACCCATTACCAGGATAGCTTCCCCAATTATCGCCTCTAATACCATTAGCTCACAGACATCTAACTTTCCCCACTTCTAATATCATTAACTCACAGACACTTACCTTCCTTCCTTCCCCTCCACCCCGCATCCTCCTTCTGTTCTGAAATGTGATTTGTCCTTTTCATATGTGTTCATTTTTTTTAATTGTATCCTTTGGTATATATGGTTGTGACTATTTTCTTCCACTATTTGATCTGAGGAAGTGGGTCTGGCCCACGAAAGCTCATCATCTAATAAACCATCTTGTTAGTCTTTAAAGTGCTACATAGTCCTGTATTTTGTTTCAAAACCTTTGTGACAGTCCTTTCCTGGTTCTCGTTACATGGATCATTCTTTCAAAATCTCTTTTGTGCTTGTCTTCTCCCAACAGGAGCCACACTGGACTCTAGAGGAAATCTTCAATTAACATCTGTATCTCAATGACTCAGAAATTAACCTCTCCACTACTGATCTGTCTTCTCTTCTTTCATCTAATTCCACATCTCAATCTGTTTCTCTGAGATCTTTTCATGGCAATTATCTAGCCACCAACATGAATTTTAACATAGTCAAAAATGAATCTGAGATTTCCTCTGAACTCCTTTCCCCTGCTCCCTATTTTCTCCTGCTGTTCACAATATTTCTATCCTTCCTGTCCATCAGGCACATAATTTGGCTGTAATTTTTGACTCCTTCCTTCCCTCCAATCCTCTCTTCATTACTGCAGCCCTATCCTTTTCCACTTCCCTGACACATTACCCTCCTCCAATCCAGAGCAAACACAGGTGTTACAATCACCTTCCACTACTCTGATCACATCCGATCTTCACATTTTCTTTGAATCTCCCTCTAGTTTCCCTTTTCCACTCACTATATTATATCGAAGTGACTAAAATTTTCAAGAAGCAGCTAAATGACATTTTCAAGTGACTAAGATCTTGTTTACACTTGAAATATGACAGTAGTACCAGTGCAGCACTTGAGCTGTGTCACTGTATTGCTTCAGTGTAGACATCATAGCAAGGGGAAGGATTCTCCCATTACTGTAGGTAATCCACCTCCCCAAAAGGCACCTCCCCAAAGAATTCTTCCGTCGACCTAATGCTGTCTATACTGGGGGATTAGGTCATCTTAACTGCCTTGCTGAGCTTCCCTGACCATACCTGGGGCATCTGTCAAGGAGGGACAGGCCTTGCCCATAAGGTATTTCTTGGGCAAGCTTTGTCCTTGTGCTCTGTCAAGGTTGGGTGCAGTCTCACTGCACAGTCCATGACCTGTGGCAGTGGAGCTGCACAGTGATCTCCCATCTCTGTGCAGCCAGTAGCCAGAGTTCCCCACTGTCATGCTGGGGCCTCCACATTTATTTGAGAAATAAAATTTGCAGAATTTTGCAGAATTTTAAAAAATTGTGTGCAGAATTTTTATTTTTTGGTGCAGAATGCCCTCAGTAAAACAATTCTGCCTCTCCCTATTTAATCACTCATCTTTTATCACTTTCCTTCATCCCTGATAGTCCAGCCTTGATTGCTGCTCCTCACAAACCATCATTTTATTCTCTTCCAGATCACCATGGAGTTAATCCTCAAAGCTACTCACACATTCCGCCTCTCCAACAAGTATTCCATCACAGGAGACAGGCATATGCACTGTGCAAGTTACAATGTATATAGGTGTACATACATTGTGTTTATAGATTTGTTTGTACATTACAATAGTGCCCAGAATGTGGTAGGCTTTGTAAAGACAGATAGAAAAAAAACTATCCCTCACAGTTTAAAATCTACAGGATAGCCATAGACAAATGCATGCAAACAGTATAGGTTAAAGTCACTTTTTGACGGCTGCTCTCTAATGGCACATACATGCACTCTCATCATCACTATTTTTTATGCTAAATACATGGCTAAAAATCTTTGTTAGAGCTAAATTACTGATGCTGTGGTGCCAGGGCATGTCTACCTTGGCAGATTATGGGAATACTGGAAGTATGGGGGACAGTAGATCAGGCACCATGCATGGTGAAATGTATGCATTTTGCTGTGCAAGCTGCAGTCTTGAGAGTATATGCTAACAACTAAACTTACATTTTCATGCTTCATGTGTTTCAGGAGGCGTAGTTCCCGATAGGCTCGTTTGGCAAAGAGTTCAGATTGAAATGGACGGTACAATTTCTTGATGGCCACTTTGATGCCACTTCTTCCATCAATAGCTGAGCTTTAAGAAAACAAGTATAGAGTTTGTGAGTGAGGATTGGAGTGATGCTGGAAGTCCTGACACCCAAGGTACATTGAACAATAAGTTAGAGGACTCCAGGTGTGGGGCTCTGCTCCGCCTTGCCATTGATTTGCTATGTTACAGAGGCAAAGTCACATAACCTATCTGTGCCTTTGTTTATCTTACTGTAAAGTGGGAATAATAACTCCCTAAGCTATAGCTTCAGAACTGGTTGGACACCATGAAAATAGACCATTCTTCCTAGGCAATTCTGATGAGCCACAGTAGAGGTCTATAAAGCAATGTCTGAACAGAGGTCAATCAGCTCTCATACTGTAATAAAGAATGGAACATTCTGATGAAGTCAAAATGCAAAAAAGATAATAGGGAAATGCAGTTTTACTGGATTATGTAACTGTGGAACTCACTGCTACAGGACACCGCGGACTGCAAGACTTTAGGGTAGCTAGGAAAGTGCTTGCCTATATCCATGAATGGGACCATGCAAAGTTACACAGAAAGGCTAGAAACTCTCATGCCTCAGGTGATGAACTCAATGCCCTGCCCCCTGGCACTAAGGAAGAGCTTTTCCGGGCAGGATCGCAGAACTGTCCGCTTTGGGCTTTCCTTCCAACTTGCCCTTCGTTGCAATGTGAGCGCGGAGGTACCGGGCGTACGCCTTTCCCTCGCACCGGAGCCGGCCGGGCCGATGTCGGAACTGGCTGCAGTGACTCCGGCACCGCGGGGAGCGGTTCCGGGCCCCGCTGGGGGCGGAGCAGCCACAAAGTTGGAAGGAATTAAAGGGAAAGTGGCCACGCTTCCCCCGCGAGCCAGGGACCCCCCCGAGCCGCCTCCCCGAGCCCTTTCTGCAGCGCCAGGGCGGGCAACGCGCGGCTCCAGGCAGAGAGCAGCCCTCTGCTAGCCCGGGCGCGCAGCGCAGGCAGCTCCCGCCCAGCCCTGTCCTGGCCGGGGCGCCCTGGGCAAGGCGCTGGGAGGGACCCCCTGCTCCCCTGCCTCACTCACCACACAGCGCCGTAGGCTCCGGAGCCCACCGGCTGCAGGTCCCGGTAGCGCTCCCGCACCTCCCACAAGGTTTTCGTGATTTCCTGCCGGTAAAAGCCTTTCTTGGCGGAGGACATGGTGACTCGGCCCCCTGTCGGCGCCTTCCAACAAAGAGCCCCGAGGCGGAGAGAGGGGCTGCGGCGGCGGGGCTGGTGCGAGGGGCTGGGCTTGGAAGCGCTCCCGGGGTGTGTGTGTACGTGTGGGACCCTCTCTTAGCGGGGATTGAATGTGGCTCCGGCTTTCTCTTTCCCCGCCTCTCCTCTCCCCTCCCCACCTCCACGCCTGCCCTCTCGGAGGAGGAGGAGGAGGCCCTGTGGGAGTCACACTGAATTCCCCCCTCCCCCTCCGCATCTGGGGCTGCCTGCTTTGTCACAGACACATAACTTTCCTGCCTGCGGTTGCTGCCTGATGGCGAAGCTGGGAGGGTCTCAGCCCCTGGGCTAGGGAGGATCTGCTCGCTCTTCTCAAACCAACTCGAGATCACGTGGTGAGATGTCGCCCCGCACCCCGAAAGGCCCCCCATTTCTAGCCTGTTTCAAGTTTTCGTGTTGTATTTGAAAGCAGCTTTCTAGCTAGGTGTGATCTCTGAGTTCTCTGAAAGCCCCCCATTTCTAGCCTGTTTCAAGGAAGCCTGTTGTATTTGAAAGCAGCTTTCTAGCTAGGTGTGATCTCTGAGTTCTCTGAAAAAGGGAGGGTCTAGCTGAATGGCACACGCTCTTATTTACAGAGAGTGTGTTGGGACATGCAAGCAACAAGACAAAAGAAAGCAAGGTTTGCACGCTGCATTACAGACAAGACCCCGGTGAAGAGGGGTTACTTATATGAGGCCCCAGAGCCAATGCTGCAAACTGGTACCTACCCACTAATCCAGTTAGTTGCCTATATGGAGCCTAGATGTTTGTCCCAGTGAACAGTTTGATAAACATTACACTGACACAAGTAATCAAAAGCAGCATGGTTTTGCAGTAAAATTTGGTATATATTTTAGTTCCATGGCTTTTGTAAATGTTTTTTGTCTCAAAAAAATAAAATACACTTAAAAGGCAACGTCTTGTATGCACATGAAAGAACCCAAGGGTGGCTACTTCCATCTCTTTTTATCTTTGTCAGAGCTACTATGGTCGATTAAGGGGATGAAGGAACATTTGATCAGTGGAGAGTTATTGTTAATTTATTCCAGTGGCATCTAAAGTCTCCCACCAACTGGACTGGGGCCCAGTTGTGCTAAGCACTGTGTGGACACAGAATGAGGGTACATCTACACTGTGGAGTTTTTCTGGAAAAATGGGAGTTTTTCTGGAAACACTACACTTACATCCATGCTGCTATTGCATTCTTTCGACAGAAAGTCAAAGGAATGGAGGGTTTTTTCTGTCAGCGGTATACTTTTTTCTACAAGAAGCCTTTTTTCGAAGAAGCTTTTTCCAAAAAAGGTGTGTGTGGTCACGGAAGAATGTTTTTTTGAAAGAAGAGGCCTGCAGGAAAAAGCACAGGTGCCCTGGTGGCCACTCCATCCACAGTAATCACAACTGAAATGCGAGATAGCGTTCAATTAAAGTGGATGCTATCTTTCGAAAAAGCAGATAACTTTTTCATTGCACTTTTGCTCAGTAGACACTCTTTTGAAAAAAGTTTTTCTGGAAGATCTCTTCTGGAAAAGCTTCTTCAGAAAGAAGCTTGCAGTCTGGACATAGCCTGAGAAACATATCCTGCACCAAAGTGAATAACTGAAAAAGTTTGTGTAGATAAACAGATTTAAACAAAAATTGGTGGATCATACAGTGAAAAGGTGTAACTGTCATTAACATTTTTTTCTATTTTTGCTGTCACATAACATGCCATTCTCTACTTCTCCCCAAACCTCTGGCCCAATTGTCAGAGTAAAACTCGTTCACAGTTTCCCATTTCCCTATTATCCTGTCTATATCCCTCCTTCACATCAGCAGACCAGGGAGATGCGGAGCAAAGCCACGGAGGACGCGGGCGGTGGGACAGCAGCAGGTCTGGGCGGTCCCGCCACCCACGTCCTCTGCAGCAAGAAAAG